TACGGAAACGTGACTATCCCGGCTCAGTATTTTTACTGCCTAAATACAGTAAAAAAGCTGAACGTTAATGTTCAGATCTACTGACTGCATTATCTGCCGCTTTTAACCGAGGTTAAAAATTGGTCCGCGAAATTACTCAGATCCATAACATGAAGAAATCCATCATACACCAAAACTAAAAACTAGAATTCAAATAAATCAAGTTCAACTTTACAATGCTATGACTCCAACAACAGCAACTGATTTTCAGTGATACTACCTCACTTCTATGTACAATACTAATAAACATATAGATAATTTGATAAATAACTTGCTTTGGCTGAGGTAAAATTTTCAACAATTTCAATTCTGTCTAATAGTTGGATTAAACCTTATCTGCGTCAATCAAGGAACGGAGCAGACGAGGAGTAGCGGATCTACGAGGGGACGATCTTCGGTTCTCGTGGGTATGCGGATGAAGCATGTACGAGTCCCGTCATGCAGAAAACGTCGTTTAGTGGACATAGTTCATTGTTCAAGATCTTGTTGGCGAAGCGCGTTTTGATAGAAATCATAGTGTTAGTCAGCGATGAGGCAAAATCCTGGAAATGGAGTCAACTTACAGGTGCTAGTGATCCAATGCAATAGCGTAAAAGGGTAAAAGTTCTTACATGCAGGAGATAAAAATATGAGAGCAGCGAAGGTAGTCTTTTTGATGATGCAGCTTCACGCAACAACCAAAGGATCTCGTTCGGAACCCCAAGACGTCGAAAGCGTACTATTTAACATGACCCATTCCGAGGCTTCTCTGCCGCAATCCATTTTACTTACTCAGTCCATGTCAACTTGTCATTTATGACCAGATTCAAGTAAACCACCCAGAGCACTCGCTGACAATTTCCTACTCGTCACGACCGACCATTTTCGAGGTATCTCGTAAAGCTTCAACGTGCAAGTTCTGAGCGAGAACATACAATTGCTCATTTGTGTCTGTTAAGAACGAGTGCGTTACACCTGGCAAATCTTGACAGGTATTCAGGATCTGCTACGTGTTCATCAAAATCAGTGAAGAGATCATTTTGGCCAGTCAAGATGTGAAAGACACAAAAACTAACTGGAATCGCACAACAATAGAGCAGAGGTGAATTATTTCTAGGAATATTCGAGGCCTGGTGGCGCAGCGGCAATGAGGTCGTCTTTGAATTTCAGGTGCCGGTCGAATTTGCTGAAGAGACATCCTTTATTTCATGCGTGAATTCTCTTGACCAACGAATTAACCCCACGTTGTATTGGCCCACAAGCAGAGATTTTGGCGCACTCTTGCAAAAAACAGAAACAGCATTACACTCCGGGTTGGTCATGGCAGGGTAGGCGAAGGGTATGGCCAAGATATCCGATGCGAGCGCCCCTTGTGGTGGTACTTCGCCGTGTCCCATCTGGTAGCTGATATTGCGGTGTAATACACAACACAAGATTTAACTCTGATTTCGGTTTCGAATATTTGGTCGATGTCCTAATGTAGCTATGCGTGACTGTGCTGGACGGCATTCAATATCGACGAACAGTTTGCATGGAAGATGTAAAGTAACATAAAACCATTCAGCTTTATACGGGATCGTCGCTGGAGATAAAATATAGACACAACTATAACAAAAACAAAGAAACAGATACTACAGGGGCGCAGACATAGGACAAAGCTCCGACAGTCTAAACCAAATTTATAGGGTATGCTTCCCCACAGACAGTGACATCCGGCTATACAAGAGCTACTGCGACTAACAATGGTTATTGTACGGCTTTAAACCGCATATAATATACAAAAACAAAACCGATTCAGAAACCGGTCGAAAGAACAAGAATTTTACCGTTGAGAGGCAAACACTTATGCCCTTTTCATGTGATTTCTTTTAGCTATCTATGCTTTTCTCGTTTGTAACCCGAAACCTGAAGAAATGTTTGAGCGTTGCTTTGCATAATCGAGAAGTATACCCTGAACTTTACAACTAGCTTTGGCACAAATCTGTAAATAATAGCGTCATAATTTCGGCCACTGAAAATAACATCTGACATTGTGATTTTACAGTGAAGCAGTAGAACTTGATATCCGTATGGTGTAAATTAAGCTATCATTAAACAACTTTTCCAGTTCGATGTCCGAAAAATTCTTTATATGACACCGTATCCAGTTCATTATGAATATTCTGTGCACAATTTTCCATTTAAATTCATTATAGGTGTCAATGACGCAACGGCAGGAGACGTGACTACTTCTTGCGCTACAATTATTGAAGTGAGAAACAACAGATATTAAGCTCAGTACAAGTCTGGTACATGGTTTCGAATGTCCAGCCGTAGCAACATCGGTCGCTTAAATTAGAAAAGAAGTTACTTGCAGTTTGAACTGATTTCCTGTCTATTTAACTATATTAACCCTAAATTTCTGCAATGTTCTGAAGGTATTCAGTTTAGCCTGGAATGGTATAATGAAACGAACAGCACATTTAAACAACGTCCGATACACTGCCCGGAACAAAATGGCCGCATCATTTTCGTTACCTACGTTCTGTAACAATATTTGTAGGTTCAATATGATCAATAAACAAAGTACACCCTCATTTCAAAATACGTATCAGTGAAATTGGAATTAGCAAATGGTTCTCCCATTTAGATCCATGGTTTAGGCCACAATTTTGTTGTTTAACAGAAGCTACTGCCTTGAGCTACGTGTTAAAATCAAAGTTCCACTGATTGTTGCAAAAGCAAGCAACGAATTGATATCTCCTTCAATACCGATTTGAGATCAAACGCAATTATTTACTGCTGCAGTAAAAACAGAAATACTTTCATCCAAATCACCTAACTCAATTATGTATGCTATGCCCTCTGATGCTAATTAAATGTAAGAAAATTCCGTTTACATGATGTGGCTGTCGGAAAATCCAAAGACCTGAGGTCAATGCTGCGCCCTGGGCAGTAAATGGGTTTTACTGCGGCAACCGCAATCGAAGTGAACTTAGTTGCGCAAACTGAGCATGTATTTTTTCCATAAATGAGTAAATTACCCTGATTATTGTTAGTTCTCATTTTGATATGCTGCAGTTTTGTAAAATGTTCATTCATTCGTGAAGTCTCACTCAGTGGGTTACCAATGGTTCAGTTTCGCTTGTAACCATCATTATACAGCATGATCTGTTTGTCCTCTTTCCTGCAAGGCAACGGGACTGTGGCAACGGGACCATCAATTAGTTATGCTAAATTGGGTAGAGAGGATAGAATGAATGAATGGAGACCTTCTCGGTGGATGACAATAACAGTAGTAA